CTGAAGTTAGAGCACTTGTAGACATCCAAATGGAGTTGTTCCACATGCATGTACACAGAGATCTGGAACTCAGGTAGTAGATTTAGGCCAGAAATATTGATTCTGGATGCATTAAGGAGAAAGAAACCTAGAGAATATGTATGGAGTAATACTTGCTTTAAAAGAGTGCATCAGAATTACTTGTTGAAATAAAAAATTAAAAATACTGGTGCAAAAAGGAAAATTTGATCACTAATTAAAAATATTAGCATAAACAGGACTAATAGAGGAATCCTCATAAGAAATCGTTTTCTCAAGAAAGGGGGGTTATTCAGCATTTTAAAATGTTACAGAGAGGGCAAGAGGGAAGGCATGGACTGGAAATGTCCACTGTACTTGGCAAATAGGAAATAATCTTTGAATTACCTTCATGAGAATCAATTTACGGAGTGAGTGGCAGGGGAAAGCCAGATCACATTGGGTTAAGGCAGAAAATGAATGGTGAAGGAGTGAAGACAGTGACTGTAGATTGTTTTTGGAAAATGTTGATGGTAAAAGAAAGGTATGAAGTAGAGTTGTGATGAGACGGCTGTGTAGAGTTCAGAAAGAGGGCAGAATGCAAGCAAACTATTGTGTAGCTGTATGGAAGGTTGGGAAGTGACTCTGCTATCATAGACTGTATGACTTAGGGCAGACACTTGAGTAGATTACCATCTATGGTTGACACTATAGTTTAGGGAGAGCCAAGTACATCTGCAAATTAAGTCACCTATAAGAGATTAGAAATAGTAAAATGTAATAAGATACTGGGAGTAGGTGGAGGGAAATGAATTAGCATTTGAAAGAAAGGAGGGAAGGAAACTAGAGGAAGACCAAGACATGGGCATGTTTTGTCAGTTATTTGAAAGTGGGCGAATATAATAAAGACATTAAACCAGTTTTAAAGTAAAAATATCAAGCTAGAATGTGCAGGAACTGAACAATAAATATAGAAAGTAGATTTTAAAACAAAATTCATTGAAAAGAACCATGGGAAGTTAATAAGTTACTATGAGTTTTCTCGGAAAATTAAAGTATGTTTTCAAAAGTGGTAAATAAATTAGTGTGTTTGGGGTTATGAAATGTAATGCCTAGTACATGATAGGTGTTTATTAAATTCTTATGTGGCTGGTTGAAGCAGTAAGTCTTCCAAAAAATATAGACAGATTTTATTCTGTCTAGTGCTATCAATACTAGCTGATGAATAACAATAAAAATAACTCAAAATGTTATTTGCCTCTTTTAATCTAAACTCTTGATATTTGTGTTATAACTATCTCAGCCACATTCTTGGACGCAGAATAGTGCATTTGGGAATCACCTTTCTTCGTGGCCTTTCTTTTGTGATAATAATGTATAAATTATGGCAGTTGTATATCTTAAAAATGAACAAATAAAGCCTATGCCTCAAAGTTTTTCCTGTATAATGCAGGACATTTGAAACTAAAATTGCTCAAGAAAAAATAAGCAGATACTTTATGACTAACTCAAAATTAATGTGTTTAATTAAATGGACTAGCTCCTTCAGGATAAACAAATGGGTAGCTTTTTAGATGAAAGATTACTCAGCTGCATCTTTTAGGTTTGATTTGTCTCTTAATTTAAGCTTATTTACTTACAGGGCACCTTTCAAGCCACAGAAGGAAGGCTTTTCTGGGTCCATTTTCCGTAAGCCAGGCTGTCTTATAAGACTTATATTATTCAAATGTGTATCTACCAAACAAACTCCCTTACAGCACATGAAAACTGATGAAGGAAAGGAATATGTAAGAGCTCAGGAAGAATGGTTAAGAGTTCTCTCTGCAAGATTTTTCTTCCAGTTACTCATTCTGTGTTTCTGGAGTCAGTGCATTGTTGCATATGTACGCACATACAAATCACCTGTTACTTTTGAATCAAAATAAAACAAAATATACAAAAGTAAGGCAGTATGATTAGAAGTCAATACATACAGGGAATTTTGATAAGACTGTGGTAAGAGGCTATGGTGGAGCCATCTGTAAATTATTTGAAGTGCTATTATTCTTTTGCTTGTTTAATTAAGATGTCAATAGTAATTATTACTATTATTTTTTAATTCTACAAAGGCAGAGAGTCTATTTACAGAGTGGAAATGGATGTTGCCAGGAATTATTTTTGGTTTCTTCTCTTTTGGGGGAAAAGAAAAATCCCCAATCCTCACCACTTTTTATTTGTTGCCCCTTTATAGATATTTCTTTCATAACTGAGAACTTCAGATGTCAGGCTGTGGGAGGGGCAGGGACATGAGGAGTTGTTCCTAAGGTTCATCATTTTGTATT